AGAGAGAGAGAGAGAGAGAGAGAGAGAGAGAGAGAGAGAGAGAGATAATGCTACATATTTACCAAGGAAAATATTGCACTCCCTTAAAGGAAGTAGGCTTGCGGTGAAATCAGAGAGGTGGTGGGTTGCTTCCCAGAATTGAGAGTTCACGCGTTCAGGACCAGTGCTGAGGACAAACATCCTGATTCCTTCTTAGGATTGAACACAAAGAGACGGAGAACAAACCACCCATGGAGGTCATTGTTGAAGAAAGTGGAGAGAACAGACCAAGGAAGATCAAGCTGAAAGACCTGTCAGACAAGGAGGAAGGAACCAGAGGTAGGCCAATGGTTTGTGGGTACCGTCTGTTATCCTCGACTCTTATAAACTAGGTGGTGTTGCCTAGTAACTTACATGCAAAGTAAATACAGTTAGTGTATTAGTTACTTTCCTGGTTGCCATGAAAAAAGATCTGAAAAGCAATTAAAGGAAGGAAAGGTTTATTCTGATTTGGATTTCAGGGGCTAAGCATGACAGGGCTGGAGGCCAGCTGGTCACATTGTATCTGGAGTCCGGAAGCAGAGAATGGTCAGGAAGCACATCCCACAAGGAAAACCTCAAGGTTCATCTTCAGCGATTTTTTTTTCCAGCAGGGTTCTACCTTCTTAAAGGATCCACCCTAACCTTCTTAAACAGTGTCACTCACCGGGGGCCAAGTGTTCGAATACACGAGTCTAGGGGGGACATTTCACATTCAAACCACAACTTTTAGATTCATCAATAACCACTGTGTTATTTTGTTTTTTTCTTTCTAACCATCTTTTATTCCTGGAACCCCTTACCTTGCTTTAACTCCATGACTTGCAACCTTTTACACTACTGTTTGGTGGCTAGATCCGTGTTGCTCGATCAGGTCCTGATAAATGGATGAGGTGGACCCTGCACATCCTCTGTCTCAATAGGACAAGAGACACGTGAGGGAAAGAGCACACCCTACATGAAACTTTTCCTTGGCAAAAACTGTCATAATTTATGTGTGTGTGTAATTACCTATTTAGCTGTTTGAGGAATGAAGAGAATGTCACTTGCATCTGTTATATATTCTAGATATCTTGTCACCCAGGAAACATCGTGATAGGCAATCTATCTCTCCTGCCAAAGTGACAAGCGTCAGCCTGCTGGACAAGATTGAGCGAAGTGGGAATAGTGGGAAGATCCCGGCCTCTGAAAAGTAATCCTTTGGCTTTTTTAGGTTGCATCTTACTAAATATAATTTTGAAGCCTTCCACGACACAGGGAATCTTAGTCATTCTTCCATTTTTTTTTTTAATTGTTACTGAGAACATTCTTTCTAGGAGGTGATGGGGATTATAGAGGTGACCAGGGCTCATAATCTAAAGGGAAATCAGACACATGTGATGGGTAAGAGGAATGCCTGTTACTCAGCTGAGGCAGAAATAACACGGGGAAAAGTCAGAGTGCCTGATGACTTTTAGAAATGACTTCTCAACTCTACAGGCATGGCTGACTTCTGAGTGTCAGGTATCACATGACAGTTTGATACTGACATCAAATGGAATGTGAGTTTGCTGCACAGGCCTGGCACTCCACATTTCTTTCTTCCCCAGCGTTTCTGACATATCTACTCTTTGCTGTCTTCCTTTGTCTTCCGTACTGATTCTTGGGGCAAGGTCTCTGTCTTTTAGGTAGGGTTATTCTTTCTGCTACTTAAGTGCACTGGTATCATGTTGCTGAGTCTTTGCTCATAGTTAATTTTTCCTCGGCATTTTGATGAACTTTCTTCTGTTAGGTGTCCCAAAGAGGCATCTGAGCTGTTCCTTCTGGTAGCTTTTGAGAGTTTCCTTTCTTAGTGTTTGCAGTTCTCACTCTTCACAGAAGTTATGATTTTCTAAAAAAAATCATTAGCCATTGTTTTCTAGAACATTGCTCTTTACCATTTCCTTTGTTTCATAGTTTGGCTCCTGTGAAATGCACATTAGAGCTCCTGGCTCTGTTTCTGTTTCTCTATTAAATTTTTTTCTTTCTTTTGCCTTTGTGCTGCTTTTAAAGTAACATTCTCAGTCTTATTTTAAATGTAAGTATAAATGGTTTGTGTTTTTACATATCATATATTTTGCTACTATATAGGGCGAATTTTCCTTGTCTCTGTTTGTTTTAATTAGAAGATCACTTTTAGGAGTCAGTTCTCTTCTTCCACTATGAGGGATTCAGGGCTTGAACTCAGGTCCTCAGGCTGAGCCCGTGCTCTCCTTCCCCGATGCTGGAAGGGGTCTTTGGTCTCTCCTTTACTTTCTTTGCTTTTCCAGTTCTTCCATAATCTTTCTCTCTGGGTGTACTTGTTTAGTGGTAGATTTGTCTCCTGTGCCTCAATTTCCTTGGCTTTTAATTACCTCAGTAGTTGGGGATGCTGACCGAGCTTCTCTTGGTTCTTATGTGCTTAAAATGCTTGGCAACTTTGCTTTGAGAGTTTACTTTGTGTAGAAGTATTTTTCCATGCATTTTTCTCTGTTAACATTGTTAGCACAACATTCAAGTTGTACGGCTAAAAACACTGGCAAATATTTATAATATTTAAAGCCATTTTCCTCAGTGATGACACCATTACACATACTGTGTGGTAGGAAACAGTCCAGAGAGTCTAGAGAGAAAGCAAACGTTCCATACGCTATGAGAAAATTGGGCCAGCTGCACCCCCAACACATCTAGACGACACATCCGCAATGCAGCCACTTCTCATGACCTCTGCCACTACCACCTTGGTCCACACCACTGCCTTTCTTCTGCGTTATCAGAACCATCTCTGTTCTACCATCTTTTGGCATTGTTTCTGTGCTACTTTTCCTGTCACTGTAAGTAAATGGCTGATGAAGGCAGCTTAGGAAAGGAAGGTCTTGTTTTGGGTCACAATTCAAGGGTGGGCACATCACGGCATGGGAGTTTGAAGCAGCTGGTCACCTTCTCCCACAGTCAGGAAGCAGAGAGAGACAAATGCCTGCGCTGAGCTTGCTTTGTTACCTTTGCTTATGCTCGTCATAGAACGGTATCTCCAGCACCAGGCTAACCACCTGGATTAACTCGCTCACAAACCTGCCCAGAGGTTTGTCTCCTAGATTATCCTAGATGCGGGTGAGTTGATATTTAACCACAGTCCTCATTTCATTTTCCCTTAATGCTGCAGCCGAAACAGTCCTGGGTCAGACAGATGACAGCATCTACTACCTAAACCTTCTAAGCTATCCCCTCTCCAGTGAGAGGAAAAGTCCTTCTCCTGGCAGCAACAGTCCTGCCTGGCCTCTGACTTCTCCCAGGCTCTTCTTCCCTTACTCCCTCCAGAAACACAGATCCAAGAACTTTCCCACCTCCAGGACTTTGCTCCCATTTTCTCTTCGGAAACATAGCTGCTCTTGGGAAACCGCATTGTTTATCTCCCTTCCTTCCGGCATTTATGCCGATGCTTTTTTTCTTCCTGGTGGGAATTTTCCTGGGAATTTGATTTGTGGTTTACTACTCCATTTCTTCAGCGCACAGCATTTATTGTCATAATGGAATATACTTAGTTATACTCTTACTGGCTGGCTATCCCCGAGGACGGGGACTTGTGTGTGCACCGGTTTTGTTTGCGCTGCATTTCCTGCACCTAGAAGGGTTTATATTTTTGTGAAACGAATGAATTTAAACTTATTTCACAGAAGTTGTAACTGAGGATTTCCAAGATGCCATAGCTTGTCTACGTCAACTACCTCGTAAGCTACAAACCGAATTCAAACCCGACTCTTACACAAAGTACATATTCTTAACCTGGGTACACGCAGCTATATTCTGAGAAGGAACCACTGAGACACTTTTTTTCTGTAAATTTTTTTTTTTTTTAAAATTTAAGACAAGGTCTCACTATTATGTGTCTCTGGTTGTCCTGTTCTGTCTGTGTAGATCAGGCTGGCCTCGAACTCACAGGGATCTACCTCTGTCGATCTGCCTCTGCCTCAGGAGCCAGCATGCCCAGTCCTTTTTTTCTTTATCTTATGTTTACGCTTGTTTCTAAAATTATCACTGGGGCTGGACTTACGTCCTTGGCTAAGAGAACTTTCTGCTCTTGCAGAGGTCCTTCCTGAGTTTGCTTCCCAGCATTCATGTCAAGTGACTCACAACCGCCTGTTGGATCTAGGGGATCCAACACTTTGCTCTGTAGGCACGTATGTGTACATACGTGTGCGCGCGCACACGTAATGAAAAGATCAAGTTCACATAATGAAAAGATCATTGTTAAAGGCCAGATTGTATTAAACATTAATTTGTGTTCCATTGTCTCTGAAGCTTGTTATCTCCAGTTTGTCAGAGAAATGACAAGGAGAAACTCAGAACATCCCCTGCCCCAGCTTGCCAGGATCATAATAAGGCAGGACAGGTACAGTACCTTCAACTGAATAAAGCCCGGCCAGGCTCCTCCTCTGACCTCTGTCTCTCCAAGAGAATTCTGGGAACCCCCTCTTTTTAAATATAATCTATGGGCATAATCAAGTGTCTGTACTGGGATTTGCCTGCTAGTCAGGATTTCCTGCTTAAGAGAAATTTCTAATTTTCAGCAATTCTGGGAGTTCATTAAATCTGTTTTATTATTTGTGAGATATATTCTGTAAATCTTCTTTTGCTAATTGTGTGCTAGATATTATATTTCACCAACATATTCTTTTATGAAACGTGTTTCTTGACAAACCCAGGCTTTGGAGAGCTTGTGAAGGGAATAAAGTAAATGAAGAAAAAAAAAAGTAAAATATACAAATTAATTAGTCCTGAAATTTGGAACTGTAGGAAATGTGCTACGTGTGTTTGCAACGAGCCCAACGAAATTTCCCATTGTTCTATGGAGACGAGAAGAGGAGGAGGGAGATGGAGGATGAACGACTTGTGCAGCAGTACCAAATTTTGAAAGACCAGGAGGCTTTCATCAAAAGCCAGGTAGCCTAACACTTTGGCTGGAGAGGGTTTGACATGGCTCAGAAGGACATTTTTAGACTCGACTAGATAGGTTCTACACATGCTTGCACAATAACACATTTGATCATTTGTATGCTGCTGGGCTAAAACTTAGGTGGTATGTTGGTTGGTTTTACATTGACTAGATACAAACCAGAGTCATTTACTAAGAGTGACTTTCCATTGAGAAAATGCCCCCAGAATACTTGCCTGAAAGCAAGTCTATACTGCATGATTATGACTGATGTGGGATGGTCCAGCTCACGGATGGCAGTGCCTCCCCTGGGCTGGTGGTCCTGAGTCATACAAGGCAGACTGAGCAAGCCATGGAGGACAAGCCAGCAAACTGTTCCTCCATGGCTCCTGCTTCAAATCCTTCCTGCCTACAGGTTCTGCCCTGGCTTCCCTCAGAGATGGAGTAGAACTTGATAGTTGAACTAAACTCATTTCTTCCCAAACTGCTTTTGGCATAGTGTTTTATCATGACAATTGATACTCCTGCGAGGATAGGTGGTATCCACGTTTTCACTGGTGAATGTCCCTGTATTTGAGTGTTGGAATACATTATGGGTCTTCCTCCTCACCCCACAGGGCTGAGTTTTAAAGGTGAAAATGAGCTAGGCATGGTGGTGTATCCCTTTAATCTCAGGAGACAGGCAGACAGAGGTCTGTGAGTTGAAGTCAGTCTACATAGTGAGTTTCAGGCTAGACAGCGCTGCGTAGTAACACCTTGTCTCAAAAAGGTGAAAATGATGGATGCATATTACTTTTGTGGATTTCTGATAAAATAAGAATCTGGTCGAACCCTTATACCTTTTATAGTCATGGCCTATCTCAGAAAAAGCAGGGGTTGGGAGGGGGAGTCACAGAATGTCACCTTCACCCTTTTGAGATTTCTGTGGTCTCCAATAATGATGTTGCTACTGTGTTCTGCATTTGTAGTAAAAATCTTCGATTCATTTTTACCATCGTTATAGTGATGGTGTCTAGATTCTAAGAGTGGGGAATGAAAAAAACCTGACTTACCTTATGTCTACTAGTCTTTAAAGACATCAGGAAGTATCGTTGTGTACAAACAGGTTTCTGTGTTGGTTAAAACATATTGACATAGGATTGAAAGAATGGAACACATAAATGTTAATAAGAATCAATTAATATAGAATGAAGCGGGTTTTGTTTGTTTGTCTGTTTTATTTTAAGGCAGGCTTTCACTGTGTAGCCCTGGCTATCCTGGATCTCACTCTGTAGACCTGGCTGGCTTCAAATTCACAGATAATAGGTGTACTGTACCACTGCTCCGCAAAATGAAGGATTTTAAAGATCGTATTTTGTGATTAAATTAAAAAAATTAAAAAAAAAAACCCACCTGTTTTGCAATAGATGAAAAGTATGGCCACTAGAGAGCAGAACCAGAAAAATGCAGCTTACAATCTTGGAGTCGCTGAAGCTATAAGGAACCACAAGAATGAGAAACCCGAATTTTATGTGAGTCTCTTAACATTTTTATTGATTGCATATAAGCAACACTAAAAAAAAAAAAAAAGTGTGCGTTTTCTGCCAAATTGTTTCCTAACAAACTTATCATGTAAGCAATACCTTTTTATTGTACAATTTGGATTTTTTTCAATTGCTAGTTTTTCAAACTGTTTATTTAAATACATGTTTCTCTGTGTGAAATGGAGTGACTTTTCATGAGTATTTGTAATTCCTCTTGGGGGAACTCTCTGTTTCTGGGTGGTTGCCGTGGTCCTATTCAGAAGCTGGGCCACGAGTTGCTCAGCAGTTAGTGCCTGCGCTGGAGTTCTGCCAGATGCACTGGGGTAGTATTAAGGCAACAGTCATCTCTCTGCATTTTTATTAAAATTGGACCTGTTTTAATTACATCAAAAACGCTATTGCTAATACTGCCTCACCTGTAAGGTTGTGCCATATAAAGTAACTAAGTTGGAAAGTGGCCTGTGTAGGTCTGCCTTCACCACATTCACAGACACAGTATCATTTCTATTAATGGTTACAACTTGTTAATTCTAGTCTTTGCCAGTCAGGCCCCGGGGGCAGGTGAGAGGGGCGGGAGCCTAACACCCAAGCCGAGGATCTGAAGCAAAAGCAGCAGCACTGACATCTCGAGGGAGCTTGCTAGGAATGAAAAGGTTTAGAGACTCACCCTAGCTCCCTCCCTGTGCATTCGGACGGGTGAGATCGCCAGGTGATCTGAGAGTGTCGGCACCTGAGGAGATCTACTCCCGATGGAGGCAGGCTACTCCCTTCACTTCATGTCTCCAACCATCGAGTCCACCTTTGTCTCTGTCTGAATCTTTTTTTTTTTTTTGTACCATTATTAATACAACCTGATAGTCTCCATACAGAAATAAGAGAATTGTACTTTGATCATCATTGGACACACAGTGAGCTCCTCTGGACTGGCCATCCTGTTGTCATCTAGCAGTAAAAGTTCTATTCTGATGAGGCCTCTGTCTAGGGGAGACAGACACTCAAGGAGATGCATGCAGTACATCCACCATGTAAATCTTTGAGAAGAGCACTTATATGAGCAAAGAGGTCACTTCATCCCGACTAGGACTCTAGGAATGTTTCATGCATGTAAAGAGTCAGGCAAAGAAGAAAAGGAAAGAAGAGATTTTCAGGCATGGGCATCAGGGAGGGGAAAAAAGCCCTGGGCCCTTGGTCTTTGGACCTGATCATGGCCTTTCTACAGTATAAGCTAGATTACAGTTCTGACTCCACTTGGTGCCTCTTCATCGAAAGACCAAGAAGTTCTGACTCTATCCTAATCTGGTCTTCTCTGTCTTTTCATATGAATAAGTTAGCTGACAATGTCACTGTCACAGAGTTAAGCTTCTATTGCAGGCCGCCATCACCATCCAGCAAGTTGCACAAACACTCCATGGAGGAGTGATTGATTTCTGGTTCTTTATCTCTCCCTTAAATGCAACTATCTACAAGTCCGGTCGCATTCATCTCCCAAGTATAGCCAATATTTGCCCCAATCTCTTTGTCATCACTGTTACCATCTTTCTCTAGGACACACTATAGACAAACTTCTGTTCTATCCTCCCAATTATTTCTCCCTTCCAACCAGTTCTTCACACCAAAGCCAAGTTGATCTTTAAAAATTCCTAATCAGAGTATATTACTCTCCTATTTAACTCCTCTAATGGTATCCCACTGAATCAAAATGAAATCCAAATTGCTGTGGATTTTTTATATAGGTGAATTGCTTTGCCTTATCAGACCCTGTGTGGCTGTCCTTGCTCCCATCTCTCTGAGCTCATTTACTTTTGCTTCTTGTTCACTATCCTTCAGCAACACATCCCTCCTTTTCTCTTCCTTTGCCATGCCTGATCTCTTAACACACGTGACCCTTCTGTTTGGGCCACAGGTCCCCTTTGTGTTTGCAGTGGAGGCAACTATTCCTCTCCATGAAAACATGTCAGGCAGTTTCACCCATCCTCACACTCTTAATATGGTTAGGGTTTTGCAGCACTTAACTATAACATTAAATGGCCAGACAGCTTTGGCACTACTTCTCAGAGCAGAATGGAGCTGATGAGAAAGGGTAAGATCTATGATCTTGACCACAGATCAGCAGTTCTGCAATGTCTAGGCGCACAATAGATATTCAGCAACCTCTCTTTGCACTTCTGCGGTGCCCTGTTCATGCTTCTGCACACACAATTCCCTCTTCTGTCTGGGTGTTGTCACTGTCAGCTCAGGATCTTTTCAGAAAGAGGCTGGGAACTTACTTTAGCTCAGCTTTGTCCTGAAATGCTCATACCATTATCCTCCGTGTTCTCTAAATACTAGCCGGTTACTGTTTGGGGGGCAGCTGGACAAACGTTAGATGTTAAGTTATGCTTTTATTTTAGTTTGTATTGTTAACTTTACTCTTTGAAACATGCGCATAAGAGAATTGCTTGGGTTTCATTTCAGAAATCCTATCTGTTTGATAAAAGGCCTCTTAGTCCTGAGATTAATGCTTTTAAGCAAGATGGATATTCCCAAAGTCTCCTGAAACAAATGGAAAGCAAGCGGGAAAAGGAAATAAAGCAAAAACAAAACAGAGAGTTGATGGACCGCTTGGAACAAGTGCAGCTCACTGAGGAGTGAGTCCACCACACGGGCTTGGAACGATGGAAGTTTTGTGTGAAGCTAATTTCCATGGGGGATTGAATAACCATTCAAAATTAAGTTAGCACCTCTGTAGCCAGTTGTACAAACTAACCTAACTAACAAGCCAGTGCCACAATGTAACTGCATTACTATAGTTACAGCAATGACCGACAATCTAGAAATACTGTATTTATAGAACAGCATTTTGCACTGTTTGTGATTGCTAGTACTGGCAGATACAGGAAGAAAGGAACATATCTTGAACAGGCTTCATTTTTAACAGTGAGATGCTCAAGTGACCTTATGGCAAAGCTGAGGTCTCATTATAAGCATGTAGCATGTTCCATAAAACCTGGGAACACATATGTATGGGGGACACAGGTGACATTAGAACCAGGGACTGAAAAGTAGTGTGTTTTCTCTCTGATTATGCTCACAGCTTTTTAGTTAGCGTCATTTTAGGTCCTGTTTTTTTTTTAAACTATTTTATTTGGAGTTCCTTAAGCCTCTACCTCTCCTCCAATTTCCCAACCCTAGGTAGAAGAGAAAGAAAGTTAAAAGGGGAAGGGGTCACAGACCTCTTTAGACTTAGCTCTGGCTGGTTAGAGTCATTGCATTCTTTGGAGAAACACCTATCACAGTCCTCAAGATATCTAGCAGCCCAGCAAATGGCAAAATCAGCAAGATGAACAAGTAGGAACAAGCAGCCTTCTTCCTCCTCCGTCCGTCTCCTCGAAGCCCTTTCCTCTCTCTGGACTCTGGCCTTTATATTTTCCCAGAGTCCTCAGAATTCCAGGAACTACAGCTGGCAAAGACCACACTCCTCTCCACACGAGGCCGTTACCAGTTGTGGATAGACCAAGGCAGTCCCATACCCCACCCTTGGGATTAAAACAGAAACCCGTTTGCATAACAACTGATTTTTTTTTTTTTTTTTTAAAGAAACCAAAACTTCGACTACACATCACCTTTATCCCACCTTGAACTTGGACAACATTAGTCTCAATTCTAAATTTTCAGGGAGGAGACTCTGATTGCCAGATTGGGTCGTCTGATGCCTGAGGCAGGATGACAGCCATGAAATTCACGCCTACCTTAGGGAGCTCCTGCTTTTGCTGCTGAAGCCAGGGCAGTAATTTTGTAGCATGTGCAGGGACTGCCACAATAAACAATAAGGTAGTTTCCGTGTCCCTGAGAATATATTGCTCTAAAATCTATCTGCTCCATTATACCAATTTTATTGATCATACAGGTCTTTGGAAAGTTTTATATGATGATTGTAAGTTGTAATAGAGTAGATTAATTTTTTTAAAGATTTATCTTATTTTATGTATGTACACCTGCATGCCAAAAAAAGGGCATCAGATCACATTGTAGATACTTGTGAGCCACCAAGTGATTGCCAGGAATTGAACTCAGGATCTCTGGAAGAGCAGACAGCGCTCTTAACCTCTGCACCATCTCTCTAGCCCAGTTTATTTTTTCTTAAAGAAGAATTAATGTTGAATCTGATTATAGAAAGTATAGTCACACCCTTCTTACTTGTCTAGATTTTAAAAAAGACTTGTGTATGTGGGCAAGGTACCCGCCATATTCATCTCATCTGGACAATATGGCCACCATCTTGCTTATACCTGTTCTGTCTGCCCTGTGGGCAACGAAGTGTCCAATAGCCTTGACTTACTTTTTTATTATAACGAGAATACCCAGAATGAAAGGGAAATTTGTATGTACCATGTGCACATTTCTATTAACACTGAGCTTGTTTTTATAGTGCTAACTTGTGGCCCTGTACTGTATTTAGACTGTGTGAAATGGCTCTCTCACCTTCTCTGCTTCTTGAATACCAGACTCGCTGCACAGAGGGCTCAATACATAAAAGAGAAGATGGAAGAAATGCAGTGCTACAAGAGAGCTTTGGATGCACAGGTGGGGGGATAATCATTACTCTGAAACTATGCGCAGCACCAACACTGTTCTGTAAGTAACCACATGATGCTGTGAGCGCACATCCGTGTTCTAGACTTGGTAGGTTTTGAGGCCCTTGTTCATTTCCATAAGCCTTGGTGTTGGTATTTTACTACGTTGTAGAACTCTCCATCACGTGCTTCTCATTTCAGATAAAGAACAAACCCTCCCAGTTGCCCATGTTTGAACCTGACTCTGCCGAGCCCATCTTTGGTAAGAATGAGGGAGAAATGGAGTTGGATAGGCGAAGGCGAGAACAGAGTTGCATGAAGCATCAGATGGAGGCAGCTGCCAGCCTCAAGAGGAACACCATCCTGAACCAGCTGGTGGACCAGAGGCGAGATCTGCAGATGCTTCAGAGGACGCAGAGAGAGTAAGGAGAGCCTGGGGCAGTCTCCCCTCTCTCCTCCCCTTCTGCCTCTCCCCCTACTCTTTCTTTCTTAGCAGAAAACAAAAGTAACTAACATATTGAGGAGTTATGCTGTTCCAAATTTGTTACACATCTCACTTTGTTTTATCCTTATCATTAATCCAATGAAGAGAATGTTAAGAAATTAAAAATACCCCTCTTGGTCTCCACCTCTCCTTTAAGTTCCCACTCCACATTTCCCCTTACATCACAGTATGTAACAACAACTTCTCCTCCTCTTCTTCTGTTTCTTTGAGACAGGGTTTCTCTGTGTAGCCCTGGCTGTCCTGGAACTTGCTTTGTAGACCAGGCTGGGCACCAACTCAGAGATTTGTCTGCCTTTGTCTCACAAGTGCTGAGATTAAAGGCATGCACTACCACACCCGGCAACAGCATAACTTAAAAGAATCGTGAAGACCAATACTACCCATTGGATGTACAAAATGAGCCAAAAAATGCTGTCAAACTCAAGTAGATCAAGACCTAATACTGGTCCTCAGTGTTACACTCTGCTCCCATCGTGGAATGGTGGTGAATTGAAGGTGTCAGGATGGGCAAATGAGTTCTTAGTGCCCGGATCTCTAAGTTCAAGCATCAGACACTTGATTTCTTTTAATGTCCATTTGGTCACCTAACTGGTGGGAAATTTTAAAGGCCCCACCAGCTTTCAGCCTCATAACATCTTCTTGTTTCCTTCTTAGCCATCCATCATCCATTTCCTACTTCCTGCCTCCACCAAGATTTCACAGGAAATTAGTTTCTTCTTTGTTAATGTTCCTCAATTCTTACATCTTTGATTACCCAAAGTTATCAAGGTTCTTGGGAGTTTCAAGAAGGATTTTGGCCAAAACCCCCACTTTTTAGAAGGTAGCGTACTTATAAAAAGTCATATTATTAATTTTTGTAAATATTAGAAATGGTCCCAGTAGGATAGTATAGGGTTTGTTATATTCCGTGCCAGTTTTGCTAGGCATGAGTTGACTGATATATTGAAAATGACATAATGATAAGAGTGGCTTTGACTGTTGGTAAGGAAAGTGTGGGAGTAGTTAAATTGTGAAGTTTATTCCTCACTAGAATCATAATTTACATGACATGTAAATTATTATAATAAAAAAAACCGAGTCATGTCTAATCTGTACAAGGATAAGAGCATTGCCTTCATATATATCACATTTCTAAAATCTTGACGTATTTTCATATTCAGTGATAGGGACCGTTGTTCCAAGCCTAGCACGTACACCCTTTCTACCTTAGCTGTCGCGATTCTTTCTCTCATCTCTGACTTCAGCCTCTCGCTGTGCTCCCAGACTACGTCTCAAAATGCGTTCTGATTGACTGGCATGTTTTTGTCACTGTATTGTGTCATGTAGGTTACATCCTTTTGAGGGCACTGGCTTTCTTTTTGTACTAGGGCTAATACAAGTATCTACCTCTTGATGGTTCAAAGTTAAATAAATCCTGCAAATAACTTAGCATAGAGCTTGTCCCAGAGTCAATAAGGAGAGCTACTGCTTTTACAGAAAGGAAACTGGTGTGTGTGTGTGCTGGTCTCTTGCAGAACTTTAAGTTGGTATATCATTCTACATCATATCAGGTTAAGTGGGTAATCTTTTAAATATTTGTTTATTATTTGTGCATGAATGTATGTATGTATGCATGTTTGTATGTTTGTGTTGTGTGTGTGCATGCTTACAGTGTGCATTCAAGGGTCAGGGTCATTTATAAGAGTGAGTTCTCTCCTTCCACTAGGTGAAAATTAGTTTTCTCCTGCAAGAGAGCAAACTCAGGGCATCAGGGTTGGCAACAAGAGGCTTTAACTGCTGACCCATCATGCTGGACAGTTTTATGTCAACTTGATACCAGCTAAGGTCCACAAGATCAGGCGAAAGCAGGTCTGTAGGACATTTTTAAAACTAGTGATTAATAGGAGAGGTTTCAGCCCAGTGCAGTGGTGCCATCTCTGGGCTGGTCCTGGATCCTATAAGAAAGCAGGCTGAGCAAGTCATGAGGAGCAAGCCAGCAAGCAGCAACCTCGCCCATGGCCCCGCATCAGTTCCTGTTTCCTGATTCTTCCCACTGGAGTTTTTGTCCTGACTTCCTTCAGTGATGAACAGTGTAAGTCAAATAAGCCTCTTCCTCTCCAACTTGCTCTTTGGTCTTGTTTCATCACATTCATAAAAACCCTGACTAAGATATCCATCTTGGGGTCCTCCTTTGGACTGACTCCCTATAGAGCTGTTGATTTTAGCATATCAAAACAGGTGGTCCTAAGTAACTTACCTCGAGTAGACAGTGCTAAAGTCTTGATTAAATTGACCAAAGAATTGGCTGCAGAGAAGGCTACAGTAGCGGCTTCATCTGTGCAGGGTGGTGACGTGGTGGTGTGGTCACCGAGTAGACAGCCAGCAAAGCGCTACTTGGTGAAGACCTCATTCTGCTCTCGGTGGCAGTGGCAACCAAATGCCATCGCTATGAGGCTTTCCCAGACCTTTAACTCTGCACCCTTTGCCATGACTCTGAGAGCCTATGAAATTTCCTCTTGTTTTTTTTCCTTAACCAAACTTGCTGTTTTGCTTTCAACAGATTTGTGGGTTAGAAATGACCAGATGTTGCTGTTTACAGAGTCAAAGGTTAAAAGGCTTTACAGGCATTTGGATGGTGGGGAGGAGAAACGGTGAGAGCCGGAGAAGATTTTGAAAACATTGTCAAACCTGAGAGAAGGCATAGCTTTACTAATGACTTTTTAAAAAAAAAAATCCTTTAAAAAAATAACTGCCGAGATGTAATTGACATGTAATGAGTTGACGGGTTTTGTTTACCTGTGCCGTCACTCGTGAACAGAGCACTCGGTCTTTGTGATTGCACGTGCCCATCACCCACAGTTTCCTCTTGCCCCTTTGTAACATTCCCCAACTCGGCCCCGTCAAGAACTCATTCTAAAGTAACCCCTGAGTTGCTTTCTGCCATTCTGGGCCAAATTTGCATTTCCTTGGGTTTTTTTGTAAGTGGAATCCTATGGTAAGTTCATAATTTCACCCGGTTCGTCTCAGTAATGACTTTGGGAGCCATCACACTGTTGGGTGTAACAGTAGTTTTGTCCCCCCACCCCGGCCCCAATGAAAACATACAGGGAAAAGTTTTTGGGGGAAAGTAGGTTATCTGTCAAAGATTCCCAGTCATCGATGGGTATGGCACATTTGGGCCTATTTTATCACCTTCACGATAGCCACACAATAGCACTTAGTTTAATGCTTGCTTGAGAAAAAGGTGCTTTTAGGACAAAGTGACCCAGGGGAAGACAGTATTGATTTTTGTCAGCGGACCCTGACACCTAGTGGCAGTCCTCATTTTCACACAACCTGACAGAGTGGTCTGACTCAGTGCTCACCTTTAGGGAAGCTCCTGTAAGACCTAAATGAGAACTGATGGCGAAAGTTTCGTTTTTTGGCAAAAATAGACTCACATAATGATTTGAACCAATAGTAACAGCACGCTGGAATCCGGGGATGGAAACAACTACCAAGAGCGAGGCACCGATTGCAGTCTTTTCTTGACGACATGCCCTTCATCAAGCATTTCCATCTTCCCCATATCCCCGTCTGCCCCCATGCTGGATAACGACCTGTCTCCTTTCTCTTGCTTACAAGTCATCTCTCTCCTTTCTCCTCTTCCTGCACTTTCCTTTGTATGGCTCTCTACATTGTCTCACAAAATGACTGTAACGCCTAAGCATGACCGTGCACTTATGTAACACCAGCACCCTCAAGGCTGAGACAGGAAGATCTACAGTTTAAGGCCACCCTGAGAGACACACAGAGACCTTCTCTCAAAAGGGAAGAAAAAAAAAAAAACCCCAAAGAACCAAATGCCTGTGACGACTTGCAAGGCTGATCACTGACAGCAGAGAGGGTGGAAAGAAACACACAGTGTAAGAAAAGCCACTTGGGATGATTCTTCAGATGAGTTAAATTAGCTTCAAAGAACGTTAATGGCTTTGGAAGCTGAAGTTGTTAAATGGAATAGGACTTAAATCCTGCTAATTTAAACCAGGAAGGAAGATCAAAGATTCTAGAGCCATCCATTATTTGACAGCTAGCAGTTTCACTGCGCTTTTACAGCATCCATGTCTTGTGCATATTATGAATGGAGTCAGGCTGTTCCTTTCTCTCCAGGCACTTGGCAGACAGAGCTGTTGAGCTGGATCGAGTCAACAGGATTAACCAGGGCTTGCAGGAAGACTGGGACAGGAGCCTGGCAATGAAGAGGCAGCGGGACTTAGAGGAAAAGGCCTTTGAGCGGTAAGAACTAATGGGAACCAGACGGCCTTTGCTTGCAAGAAACTTCACTGTAAATCGGCTTCATGTTTCCTTTCCTCTAACTCAGTGGGTCTCAACCTTCCTAATGCTGCAATCCTTTAACGCAGTTCCTCATGTGGCGCGGACCCGCAGCTACTTCGTAACTGTGATTTTGCTACTGTTATCAATGAACGAATTTGTCAAGAATGAATCTGATATGCAGGATATCTGATATGCCACAGCCAAAGGGGTCTTGACCCACAGGATGAGAACCAATTTGAGTTTAATTCTGGGACGGCAGAGGGTTCAGGTGCCAACCCGAGTCAATTAGTATTGCCCTTTACAAGACTTTCTGGGGAGAACAAATCTGCAGCAATTGATTTGAAATGTCTTTTGTGGAGAAATGCTGCTGCTTGATTCAAAATGGGGCTGGACAATACTGTGCTGTATGTTAAGATTTTAGTGACCATGCTTTGTTTTTGCTTTGGTGCTTCCACTTTGTTGAGGGTTGCAGTTTTCTTTGGATTGAGTACTTTGACACAGGGGGAGTTTCTGCTTTAAACACTCCCAAAGCTCATGGAAATTTTTTGGATGGTTCTTCTTTTCTTTTTTTTCTCTAAGTTAATTAACTAACTTTACATCCCAACCTCAGCCTCTCCTTCCTCTCCTCCTGGTAGAATAATTTTTCTTTTGATATAGGGTATTGCTCTGTAGTCCTTGCTGGACCGGAACTTGCTTTATAGAGCAGGCTGGCCTCAAACTCACAGAGATTCATCTGCCTCTGCCTCCCGAGTTCTTGGACTAAAGGTGGACACTACCATGCCTGGCCTTTATGGATGGGGTTTAAGAAGGGCAGAGTCAAGGAAATGTTGAAAATGGGAAAAATGAGGCAGACACAGCGGAGCAAGGCCCCACTCCAGTTGTGTATTTGCAGTTTGAATCTGCTGTTTATAATTAGCACTGACTTTGGAAAGGCTGCTAGTGTTAGTCATGTTTTTAAATTTGTAAACTATGAATGTGAACAATTGCCTGAACTAGCACAGGAGTTTTAGGGATTAACAACTGAAAAGACGGGAAAGTATTGTACTTTGAAAACAATAGAAATCCTTTAGAAATTTAAGGTAAGATTTTATAGAACGAAAAAAAAAAAGACTTTATAAAAATGTTAAAAATCCAATGAAACTGGTCCAACCTATACAATCAGATTATCAGGACTACACACAACAAAAAAAAAAAAATAGTTTAACTGGCTACTTTTCAACTACTGTTTTAGATTTAACATTTCCTTCGTGTGTGTGTGTGTGTGTGTGTGTGTGTGTGTGTGTGTGGTGTGTAGATGTGTGCGTGCAATGGACACACGTTTACCTGTACCCGAGGAGGCCAGGAGAGAGTGTCAGATCCCGTGGAGTTGGAGTTACAGGCAGCTGTGAGTCGAACCAAACGCAGGTCCTCTGAAAAGTAGCAATGCATTCTTAAAGGCTGAGCCATCTCTCCAGCCCCAACTTAATAAAAAAATTTATTTTATATAGAAGTTTTTTTTGCCTGCGTGTGTGTGTGTGTGTATGTGTGTGTGTGTGTGTGTGTGCTCTCCTTGTGTGTCCAGCATCCAAGGAGGTCAGAGGAATGTTATAGGGTCTCCTGGACCCGGAGTTAGCGGATGGTTATGAGCCACCATGTGGATGCTGGGAATCAAACCTGGGTCCTCTGGAAGAGGAGCCCGTGTTCTTAACGCAGCTGCCTCTCCAGGTCCAGCACTGTTGGTTTTCCAGTCATCGCTCTTCGTCTGCCAGTCTTTCCTGTAGAGTTTCTTGACAGGCGCTCCTCGTCTGATTTTCTAATTGTGGAGCTCATTGGTGACATAGAACGTACAAGGGATAACATGATGAACAGGAGAAGTGGGGCTGTTTGAGCCAGAGAAGAGGAGGAGTGTGGGAGTTGGAGAGCTCAAACTACGTTTTCTTGAAAAAAACAGGGAGAAGCAGCGAGGCGAATGCCAGCACAGTTTTGTTGGGATTCGGGAAGAACGCTTGGCCAACGTAATGGTAACAGATAGAGGAGTCACAGGAAATAATTGTGAGCTCAAGTTAGCAAATATGCTCCTAGGGGTATGACACAGGAGAAAGGCTACCTCACTGCCCAGGCCAGGCTGTGGTGGGTGGTGACTCAAGCGGGCAGCAGATAGGAAGAAGGAAGTAGTTGATGTAAAAAGGAAACCAAGCAAAAACAAAAGCAAGATTCCTGTTTATGCAGTTGGCATACGACAGCTCTGTCCCATTTCTAGTGTAATGCAGATAGGTCTTGCATATTTCCAAGATTCTTTTCTCTAAGGGTTTTCTTAGATACTGGGCATGTGTGTGCATGCGTGTGTGTGTGTGTGTGCACACGCACATAGGAGCTCGCGATTGTGTGTGTGGATGCATGTGCCCTTGTGTGCAGTGGCCTGCGGAGGCCAGAGGTCAACTTTAAATGGGACTGTCCATCTTGCTTTTTGAGACAGGTTTTATCATGGCCTGAAGCTTGTCAAGTAAGCTGGGCTTAATTGACATGATTTCTGGGAATCAAACTCAAGCCCTCATGCTTGTATGCCAAACACTTTTTTGATATCCTTCCTCCAGACCCTTATAGTTGAAAGCCAACTTTTTCCTGCTGCTGAGGTGGGGGTTGGGGTAGGGGTATTGACCTAGCCTTGTGCTTTCTACAGAATTCTGTCCTTGCAGAAATGTTGATGGGTCCTGGGAGCATACTTGGGACTGGCTTGCAGAACTGGGAACTTTTAAAGTGGAATATCAGTCACTGTTGGCCTTCATCTCCACTTCCTGTTTGTTTGTTTCCCCATCTTTGGGCCTACTTTCTGTCCTTTATTTTCATTTGTTTGTTTTGCTCTGTTTACCAGACAGGGTTTCTCTGTGTAGCCTTAGCTGCCCTGGACTCACTTTGTAGACCAGGTTGATCTTGAATTCACAGAGATTCACCTGCTTCTGCCTGGATGAGTGCTGGGATTACAGGCGTGTGTCATGGTCCTTGGCTTTCTGTCCTGTGCTTAACTCTCCAGACACTCTGGCCTCCTGGGACTTGTCTTTTTCAACTCCTTAGTTCTTTGCACATGTTGAATATTACCAGCAGCTTAATGGCATCATTCCTTTTTCAATCAAGGTCCCTAGGGAGTGAGAAGGAAGCAGTACAAATATGGCGGAACACCAAAGCTTTGGGCCACCTTGGATGGTGGGGGTAACCTTGGACTTTATGTGCTCAGGGTTAGGCTAGGCATGAAGGAAGGGTCAAATGCTGGGAAGGCACATGGCTGTTGACTGGGATGGAGCCGACAGTAGATGCGAGAATCCACTGGGGTAAGCAACAGGTGGCAGAGTGAGGCCCTGGGGACTCTAAGAGCCTTGAGAGCAAAGACCAGGCACCATTTTTTTTTCTCTCTGGGGCTAGGGACTTGGGGAGTACCTGATGATGTCAGCTTTTGCTTTCCTCTCCCCAGGGCTTCTGACAAGCTGTTCCTCTTGGACCAGTGTGAGAAATACCGGCGCTGCAGGCAGTGCCAGAGGCGCACCTCCAACGCTGGTGACAGCAACGTGTGGCCCCTAAATAAGTTCCTGCAGGGCTCCCGATTGCTTCTGTAGAGCTCAGCATTTGAACCCGTGTTTCCTGAGGAACATTTGTTTGGAGAGATTGATATTTATTTTGTATAGTTGTACCCCAGAGGAAAAAAAAGATTGCTTTAAAACCCTTTCTTTAATTCATGTCTACTGACTGTTCTCTGCATATCCCCTGAATTTGGTTCTGATGGCTGTGGAAACATGCTTAGCCTAGAGCCCCTTGCTATGGGGGCTGGGAGTGGGACACAACTTCTTGCTGGATGCTGAGACAGTGTGGATCCAGCTCTGTGACTTTCTTTTAGAAACTTCATATTTTTCCATCTGTAAAGAAAATATTATAATAAATGTTTTCTAAGAGCTGGCTATCCACGGTGATTTGTAACGGTATGTTTTATCCCCTCCCCAACTTTTAAAACATTTTTACTTATTCTTTGAAAATTTCATGCACTTCTACGATGTATTTTGATCGCCACCTTTCTCCAGTTTCGCCTACTGCATCCTAACTAACATCCCTCCCTTATGCCCTCTGTTGTTTTTGTTACTAATAACCTCTTGAGTCCAATTAACACTGAACACTGAACTTGAATGTGAGGCTATCCAGTGGAGCACGGGCACATCCCCAATGGAGAATGACTTTCCCTCCTTCAGTAGCCATCAACTGTCAGTAGCTCCTCCTCCAGGGGTGGGGCCCCAGGAACTCTTCTCTCCTCCATCAGATGACCCACTAGAATTTCGACTCACTGATATTAGGCGGGTCTTCTGCAGGCAACCACAGCTGCTGCGAACTGACATGTGCATTAGCTATGTCATGAAGCCGACACAGCACATTTCTCCCTATCTGCCATCTCTTTCGTCCTTCTGCCTCTTCTTCAGCAATACTCGCCAGGTCTTTGTTGAGCCCTGCTTTTAAGGTCAAAGTCTGGCATTACTGAACAGGCCCTGAGGTCAGTGCTAAAGTGATGGACTCCCTTCCTCATCTGGGTTCCCTTCTCTCTGCCTGATCTGAGGAAAGTCCAAGTCCTCTAAGGAGTGTCACCTCGCCCTCAGGAGATTACAGACCCAACCTTTCCTGATAAGAAACCCATTCAGTGTTCACCTGGGGATTCCCGAAGCCCTCTCCCTTCATGCTAATGAGCTGCCTTGGTACCTTAGCTTTCAGCCAATGACCTTTTTCCATCCTGGAGTTCTGAGAGCTTTTCATCTATGGGCACAAGCATACACGATCATTTAGTCAAACAACAGTAAATTTCCCCACTAGAGCCTATGAGCTCCAGATACGGGCTTTTGACCAGGTTTACTTCATCTGAGACTATTTTGCCTTTATTCTTGAAGGAGACTTTTCTCGGATATATGAATGTGGGTGGGTCGTTATTGCCTTTTAGTATTTTAAACAAGCTAGTCGGTGGCGTCTGCTGCAATGGGTTCTGAGAAGCTGTCCAGTGATTTTGTAATTCCCTGTATGCACATGCTGCTTTATCTGTTTTCAAGATTTTCCTCTTGACTCTTGGTTTTCAGTAGTTTGGCTACGATAGATTTTACAGAGTGGTCTTGCTTTATGTGATTTGTGTGTGCCTGTGTACCCATATGTGAATGGGAGTGCAGGTGGCCTTGGATCCTAGAAGAGGGCACCATCTCCCCTGGAGCTGGAGTTTCAGGGGTTTGTGAATGGCCTGACTGTGGTGCTGAACACTGATCCTCTGCAGAAGTGCTAAATGCTCTTCACCGCTGAACCTCCCTCTAGCCCAGGGTCATTCCTATTAGTCCATGTTCAATTACACTGAATTATGTTTAATGTTAGACCCCCCTCATATGTGTATATAATGTATCTTTAATTATATGCAATCCAGATTCCTTTTCCTACTTCCTCTCTGGAACTTTACCTTCATGCTCCCAGCCCCTTAATAGAATCCACTGAGTCCAAACTGAGTGTGGGGCTATCCACTGGGGACAAAAGGAAACTACCGGAGGCCATACTACTAAAGAAAAATGCCTTTTCTTCCCCCAGAAGCCATCGACGGCTGATAGTTCCTCAGTGGTGGTAGAGTTCCGTGGGCCCTTCCCCCATCCACGCTGGAATGCTGGCTGACTTGGTCTTGCATAGATCTCGTGCAGGTAACCACTGCTGCTGTTAGTTCATGAGTGCAGTGGTCCCATTCCGTGTCCCGAAGCTGGCATTTTGCAGCACTCCTCCCTATTCTGCATTCCTCTCTCTAAATGTGTTTTGAACCATGGGTGGCGGTGGTGGTAGTGGTTTGACATAAGCGTTCCATTTAGGGTTGAATACTCAATAGTCACGTATCCTCATCGCTTTAAATAGTGATCGTTGCTGCTGTTCATACCAGAAGAAGCATCTCTGGTCGAGGTTGAGAGCAGCACCGTTTCAAGGTATAAACACAAATATAAGGCAATTTGACAGCATTGACCACAGAGTAAAACAGCAGTCGGAGGTCCCATCTCCATGAACTGTGATCTCCTTTTGATCTGTTTATACCATCAAGCTTGAAATTATTCCTGCGGCACAGGTCTCAGATCCATTCAGAAAGCCGCTGGGTTACCCGTGATAATTATGCCTCTATGGCATCTGTCGGCGGACTTTGCCAGACAGGGGGGTATTGTGGCACACACAGTCCAGCGCTGATGAGACTGCTGCCGCCTGTTCTCTCCCAAGCAGTCTGCATGGTGTCTTCTGACAGAGAAATTTCAGGTCGATCCAGCTTGATTTCATAGTCTATGCTCTGCAACCAGAGTGTTGTATTTTTACCACTAGGGTCTCGCCATCTAGACATGGTGGGAAATCAAGAGTAATGGTGATGGCTTGTGTTTTTTTTGGGGATGTCTCTGGGATCTCCCTGACCAACAATTTGTAGGAAAGTATGCCAAGCCTACCACGAACGTTTTCATTTAATGACCCATTAATTAAATGTGCACGGCTCAGTACTCAGGGGGACATGCTTGCTGCCAGGTTGAGGACCTAAATGTGATCCCCAGGACCTACCCCGCAGAAGGGGAGAACTGAGCCTTGTAACTGATTTCCACGGGATGAGCACACACAAATAACGTAATAAATGCGGCAGGCAGGGAAGGGAGTGGGAGAATGAAGTGAAGATCAGGGCCGGGGGATGTGGTTCATGTTGGTACAGCGCTTGCTTACCATACAAGGAAGCTCTGCTTTCCATTCCCAACGCTGCATCAGAGGACCATGCAGCCTGCGCTCTCAGCTCTTGTAAGGTAAGAGAAGCTAGAGTGAGGGCTTCGAAGCTATCCTTGGCTACAGGAGATCCTGAGGGGTGTGTGTGTGTGTAGTGAATTGGGGGAAAAAAAATCCAAAAGATGTTGTTTGCTAGAGTTAAATATGAAGCAGGCACAACACAACTACTCAGACCTTCTGCGGTCCTCCTGCTTCCTATCCTCGCAGGCGTCTCCCTCTAGCAGGCTTTGTCCCTGACTCTGTCCAGCCTCCCTAGCTTTTCCCCCACCACCCCAGCACTTCCCGCTTCAGTATAGATGGCATCAGAGGAACGATCCAACGAACCCGGGGCTCATTGGCTCTGGGTCCTCCACAGCGGCTGGTAAGGAGGTGCTCAGATCCACTTGGGCTCTGAAGGCGATGGCTTGGGACTCAGGGGAAACTGGGAGCGCCCTGACTGGTTCCCTCTGCAGCTCCCCCAGCTTCTAGGGCGGGGGAGACGGTGCTTCGTCCTTGCAGTCCATCTGCAGTGACGCCCACCTATGTTGCTGCCTGCATCTCCAGCATCGGGCTGGCTGTGCGCTTAGGACATGGCCGTTCGTTCATGAGTAAGTCAATTCCCTTCGGTAGTGCTGACCTTCACCCACTTACGGAGCTTCTGCTGGAAATTCCCGCCAGGCATCGCGCCACCTCAGTGGACTGGAGGGAGCCATCAGCGCTCCAGCAGGACGCCGTTAAAGTAGAGTCACGGTTTGGTCACCAGGTTCAGAGTGGCCGGGGCTAACTTCTATGCCTTGCTTTTGTGTTGACATATTGAGGCTTGCGGTTTTCCTGATGCGGTTCTTTTCCTGTCCTCTCTCAACTTGATCTTCAAAGCGCTGGGAATTTCAGGCGGCGGGCACTGGACTTTGATTTCTTGAAATATTTTTTTTCCTTTTTTTTTTTTAACTATATGAAGAGTTACTTCTAACTAGAGTGACAACACTTTGATGACCCACCCACCTGCTGTGGAGTTCACTTACAGGTATATGAGGTTTTCTTACCACACATAACCCAACCGGTGCAACCCGGAACAGATTTAGAGGGACTTAAGAGCTACAGAATTACCACGAGAGTAGGAGTGTGTGAGGCAATTTATGACATGGCTCTTGTTGAGAAAGAAGGCGTCCAGGCTCTAGACTGGCCTTTTGATGATGGCTCATCACTGTCCAAGCAGATGGTGGCCCACCTGTTAAGTCTTGCGAACATGAAATCCGGGAGGAGCCTGATTGTTGTACCTGCGCTGCAGGTCTGGGGAGAACGCTGGTGCTTGTTGCCTTAGCAGACACTGGAAGGACAGTGAAAAAGGAAGACCAGCTACCAGCCACAGCCTATAAAACAAAAGCAGGCACGAGCTTTCAACAGCAAGCAGCTTTTGCACTGGGAGAAACATTGTTCTAAAATATGGCTGCTTTTCAGTCTCCAGTGGAAACAAGTGTTCAATAAAAGATGGCTGCTTGATGCTGTTTCCTTGGGAGTGAAGCTTGAGATATGACCTAACCTATTGCGAGTGTTAGCCAATAATAAAGGCTTAATGAATGAGTTTCGTAATGTTTCCATGGGAATGTTAAAGCTACAAGCTTGATAGAAATGCAACATCTGTTATGCTTATTACTACTATCATATGCAAGATATGTAAGAAATTTAGTGAGATTGGCCACCAAGACATAACACAGTACTTGTCTATTTTCAGGAATACAGAATTAAAAACAGCATTCCAGGCCTTATGTGGTTTATTCCTTAGGTGAATTTTCAAACATTGCAAGTGTATAGTTATTTGTCTGCTCTTTGGTGTTCATCTCCTTGTCTATGCACTGGTATACATCAAGATTGTGCAAGAGTTGCTTCTGTGGGATTTTGAATTTCACAGTGATTAAATGCATTTCCATAAATTTCATTTTATGCTGTTTTAAAACCTCTATTTTGAAAAGCCGGTTTTGGTAGAAGCTCCTGCAAGATCCATTCTGTACAGAAGCAGTGTATGTTTAATGTCTTCTGATAAAAATGCCTTGCCATAAATGTTTATATTTGGTGTACAAATTAAAGGAGGAAGGTTGAGGACAGAATGGGAAAAGACTATGAAATAAAAAAAAAATTGTGCAGGATATAAAGTTTTTAATTTAGTAAGTAATTTGCATGTGTTTATGTGGCTATGTGTGTGTGTTTGTGTGTGCATGCGTGGCAGAGATTAACCTCGGAGAGCGAGTGGCTTTGTCAGTTGTTCTCTCTTTGGTGTTTTGAAATAGGGTCTCTCAACTTTTACGTGGAGCTTGCCAGTTGAGCTAGGCTGGTTGGTCAGTGAGCCTCAGGGACCAGCTGTGTCTGCTTCCCCAGTGCTGGGAAGACAAGCGCATCTGGTTACTCTCAGCTTTTTCACAAAGGGATTGGACTCATGTTTGCACGGCAAACTCATTACTTACTGAGCCATTTATAAAAGGTAGAGTTGTGTTATCTTTGGAGCTAAACCAGTGCTTAATTATCTAGTTTCTGAAACTCTTTTTTTTTTTTTTTGGTCAAACATTAGAAATTACTTACTACCTATTACTTTGCTTTAAAGTCTGATATTTTCCCAACCAAAAACACATTTCTACTAATTAACTGGACATTTAATAATTTATGTTTTTAAAATTATGTGACTTAAAATTAGGGTTCTCAATGATCATTTTTATTGTAAAATTGACGAAATGATTCCATGTTTTAATGTTGAGACAACCGTATTTTCGCTACGGGGAAGAATAGTTTGAGTTCTGTGGGAGAAACAACCGGAAGGGTGTTTTCTATCGCCAAGCACTGTCCAAGCTTAAACATCTGAATAATGAATCACAAGAGAGACGTCCAAGATATCTGATATAGTATGATAGAACAAATGCATTCTTAAGTAAATTACAAAGGTTTACAGCTGTGAGTTGACTGTAAGTGGTAACAATTCTAAACCCCGAACATCTAATAATACTGGGCTAAAAGATAAAGTATGGTCATGGCTGTACGAAAGATTGAAGTGTCCCGTAACTCTAACATTTATCTATATGGGTTGAATAGACAAAAAGTCTGTAATATGTAGAACTAAAATAATAATCCCCCAAACGAAGAGTATTCCATCCAATCACATTGCTGTGCATATCTTTTTGAAGAGGGTGTGGTGGCACACGCCTTTAATCCCAGCCCTGAGGGAGGTGGAGGCAGGTGGATCGCTGTGAGTTCAAGACCACCCTGGTCCTCAAAGCAAGTCCAGGACAGCCAAGGCTACACAGAGAAACCCTGTCTTGAAAGAGAGAATGTGAAATGTTTTCTGAAATTTGACGCTAACATTTGGCAAAAAAATTCCTCAACAAATTTAAAAATATTTCAGTAAGTCATAACATATTCTCAGACTATAATTCAATGATATTAGGAACACGTTTTGAATTTTTAAAATCTATGTCTAGAGCCTTTTACTTTGTACATGAATGTAGTAGATGATGGAATCACAAGACACTGCACCAATTAAATATAGCAGGGCTCTCCGGACCCACCAATGATTAAATAATGATACAGACTTATTAATATTTATTATAGTTAAGGCCTTTGGCTGGGCCCTTAGCTAACTCAATCTAAATTGACCTGACTATTCTAGCCTAATGTCCTACCATGTGGTTAGTTCTTTTCATCTCTTTCAGTCGAGATATGTCTGTGCCTTTCCATGTCCTGCTGGCAAATCTCCAGTCTCTCAGTTCTTCTCCTAGACTTTCTATCTATGCCCCAAAGTCCCACCTTCCACTTCTTACTCAGCCATCAGCCATCAGCTCTTTATGAAAAGCCAGTAGGGAAACTACCAAGATCCAGCTAGTGCTTAGCTCTCTGCCGGTATCAGTCAACAATTGACAATGCAGAGACACACCTTCATACAATGTACCCCAACAAAGAAAATACGAAGACATTTCAAAAGTCATATACTTAGAGATATGTGAAAGCTATGGGAGGAATATGGACTAGCAGTACAGGAATTCCTTGGAGGGAGCTTTTCTGATGTAAGCAGCCATTTTCTTCACTGTGTGCACTACTGATTCTGGACATGGAATAAAAAGGATTAGGTTGGGTCCAGGCAGATTATTTCTCCCTTGGAAATGAGACATCCAACAAGGCTATTAGTGGTCATGTGGGTTGATGCAATAGATCAGAAAATTGAAAACCTCAGCCAGTTCTTCCATCTTTTGTAAATTGTATTTCCCGGGACACAGGCATTAAATGTGAGACTGTAATCAGAGATTTATTGGAGAGTCTTCACTAGGACTCACTATTTTGTTCTTTTCTAGACATGTATAGTTTTACTTATTACATTTAGGTCTGCGCTTTGGGGATATTATTGGCTGAGTACTAGCACCAAAGAAGCTAATGTTGGAAGAATAAGACCCAAACAAGAAGTGATTGAATCATGATTTCGCTAAACACTCTTCATGGATCTTAATAGTTTTCCTGGCTTGTACTGAGAGACAAGCAAACAGGAACAACACATTATATGCAGTGAGAATCCTGGCTGAGTAGACGGCAGGGGTAGGTCTTAGCCATGATTTATACAGTTAAAGGAGATAGACCATAGGAGAAGCTCCAAGTCTTTCTTTTCTGTTTGTCTTGCAGTGTGTGTACTCCCAAACATGAGAGAGGTAGAAGTTTTCACGAAACTGGCTTAAGAAACACCCGGGACAGACTGAAGTCACCTCTACACAAAAGCTGCTTTGAATGGCTCAATTATTTCAATGTGAAGGATGGAAGGGAGAGAGTGTTCCAGAGCCTGGGACACTAAATCAAGTCTCCTTTAGCCATTAAATCAACACATTTTCCATGGTGTTCCCTCTTATTGCTTCTTTTTTCCTTTGTTCTTTGGCATGCTGACCCTTCCCACCCCTATTTCTCTAATTTTCCTATTAGTAATGACAAAAAAGTACAGTACCCAGCAAACCAAAGGGCAGTGACCATTCTTGATGAGCCTCTAGTCACTCAGCCCCACATTATACTGAGTCTTGAAGCCAATGTATTCTTCTGAAAGGGATTAACTCCCTGATGGGTGGACCTCTTTTTTTTTTTTTTTCCCCCAGCAGGTGGCTTTGCTTACATTTCTTGAGTTCTTATGACTTATCCTTTACTCTTGGGGCAAAGGGCAAACACTGCTTTCTGTTCTTGTCTTCATAGATACAAACTTCTCTCTTTTATATGAACATGTTTTTCAAGGACATAACTACTCTCTTATGAAAGAGGACTTGTTCCAATCTAGATCCTTGAGCTCTACAAAAGTGGGATTCTAGGCAGAATTTCCCACAAGGCTTGGTTAGTAATCAGCAATTAATAGCAAAGGAAACGTTTGGAAAGGATTCAAACGGTTATAGAAAAGTGAGCTTCCAGGGCCTTCAGGAACAAAGCTGTTATCTGATGTATGCCTAAGCATCTCCCCAAACACACAAAGGAAAACAAGCAACAAACAGAAATAACCATGGCAGAAAGGCTGGCCATTTTGGAACCTGTTTATATTGTATTTCTTCATTCAGCCCCAACAAGCCCAGGAGATTACATCAGACCTTCTGAACATTCATAGCTTCCTTAGGCCAACTGTAGGTGTCTAGAGTGAAGGAGTCATAGTCTGGAGTGTAGATCAGAGATCTTATAAATGCCTCCTTGTCCTTGGGCTCTGGATAGTAGGAGGCCAGGTTGTGTTTGTATGCATAGTCGAGGACCTAGGAAAAACATGTTTGGGTAAGGAACTAGATCTATGGCCAGGTGCAAAGAATATACCCAGAATAATCAGACATATAATCTCTTCACCTATAGCACCACTGGAAGGGGAGGATTAAAACTTTTTCCCTAGACAGTACTTGCTTCTTTTCCCAAGGGGTTAGTAGTCTCCCTTTTCCTAAGCTCTGAAGATGAAGGATTCATACCCAGTGCCTGGGCCGGGCTTAAAGAGGCCCAGCCTATCACACCTGCTTCTCACTCCCTGAGGGTTTCCGGCCGTGATAGTCCTCATGCGTGCTTCAGTCTACTGGTTGGGAAGCAGAGTAATGATAACCGTTTTCTAGAGTGATGTGAATATAATTAGCAACAATCACCCCGTTAACCCACTCCCATGTAGACTGAAGTGGATGAACTGGATGGTCATCCTGTGAACAAATTGGCCCCATTGACGGAAGTGGGTTGGCTGAGTTGGACTGGTGTTGGACTGTATAGCTGCTCTGGATGACTCACAGGGACTATGTATTGTTGTGTAGTATACTTTCTAAAATTGTCATTCTTGCAGAAAAATCATATACACTCATGGAAATGGTATCACATACCCACTGCCCAGCTTAGAAGCTTGTGGGGGAAATGTGGGAGCTTCCTTAGCATTGGCTTGAGGGGTGTTTAGGGTGGGGCTCAGGCTGTTTGGCAGGTAGGAGTCTGTCACTCTGTCTTTGGGCTGCATGCAGGGACCCTTAGCCCCCCTGAGTCACAGGAAAAGGTGGAGCCTCACTACCTGTATTAGAGGGGTATGACTAGGATGCCCCTTACTTTGACTGCAATTCTCAGTGACACATCTCGGATGGTGCTGAGCGGTGGGTACAGTCTTCCCTGGGACAGGTGCTGCTCAGATACTTCCTGGGCAATTTGCTAGACAGAGAGAGGGAGGGAGGGGGGAGAGTTTCTTCCTGCTCAGAACAACAGAACAAATCCATCCCATTATCCCAAAGCTTGCCCAGGTGCTGCAGCCATTGCCACACATAGCCCCAAGGGAGCTTAATGCTTAGGGTTATTCTTTCTATAGTAACCCCGGCTGAAGTTTAAAATAGCACGGGGCTCCTTGAATTCTAAAAGGAAATCGCAAAGACCAAGATGAATAAACCCATGACTGGTAAATAAAGATTCTGTCCTACAGTTGCTCACAACCTGTTATACAGGACTCTCTGGGCCCCTTACTTCTTGGGTCCTAGTCTCCTTCCACATGCTGCCCCTCTTATTATTCTAGGTGGTCATTCTCTGTTCATGGTCCTATGAGCTTTCCTTTTCAGCCTTGTTTCTGTTCTGATGCCAGGGTTGGGGGGTGGTGAGTGGGTAGAAGAAATAAGGGAGGACGAATCTAGGGGTCACTGGGCTTGATCCACCAACCCTATTAGAAACATCCTAGGGAGAGAAGACAGCGGTACCTCTGCCGTCAGGAGGAAGATTTCATCTGGGATGTGTCGGATCCCGCCGGCGATGATGCCCAGTGCCACCCCAGGAAACACATAGGCATTGTTTCCCTGACCGGGAGTGAATGTCCTGCCATCTTCCAGAGTCACACTCTTGAAAGGACTTCCACTGGCAAAGATCGCTTGGCCCTGGAGGCGGGAAGAAAAGCAGAGTTGGAGCTTGGAGACAGGTTTGGGACAGTCCTCATAGTCCTCATAGTCTATTCTTATCTCTTAAACGCTGGGTCCATCTTCACCTTCCCCTAACGTCCAGAACTGGAGTGAGAACTTTGTAAATATTCTAAGAACAATTTATTTATTTGACTAGGAAGCTAAGTCCTACCTCCCTTCAAGTAGAGATCATGGTGCCTCTCCCCACAACATCTGGGATGGCCAACCCAGGACAGTTGTCTAGAGAATACAGAGGCCACGGGTCTGGACAAAGCTCTCTTGTATGGGGGAACTTTGAAAAGTGCAGTATCATGGAAAGAGCTTTGGTTTTGGAGTTAGATGTAGGTTTGAGGGCTAGCTCTATTCTTCATTAGCATGATGACCTTGGGAAGGCTGATTTATCTTTCTAACCCTCAGTTTGCTCACAGTGACGGGGCACTCTTTGTCACCCTGAGAGGGTTGCTGGTAGTAACTGCTACTACTTTCTCTCAGCCGGTGGGAGGAAGGACTCCCCGCTGACCTCGGTGACCCGGTAGCACTTCTCAGCTGTGCACTCAGCCTTGCTGGTGGGGTTGCTCAGGGCAAAGATGATAGGGCGCTCATGGAAGGAAGCCATGTCCCTCAGAATCTGCTCCGTGAAGGCTCCTGCGATGGCAGCAACACCTACAGGGAAAAGGGGGGGGGTAGTGGGGAGTGCCTACTCTGTACAAACATTCCATTTCTCTTCTTGTGGCACTGGCAAGGGAACTAGGTACCCCATGGCAGACTTGGAAATCCCTGGGGTTAGAATCTGCTATAGGAGCTAAGAGAGCAGAAGGGAAAAAGAGCCCTTTTGCTTGAGTTGGCTGAGACCTCTTGTTCATTCCATGGAGACCACTGGTTCATTTTAGGCCTGTGATCTCTAAGGCATACCTTGAAGGCATTCCTGAACATTGTTGTTGAGAGCAGAGTGTTCCTCTAGTACAGACACAAGGGCCAGGGTCTCTGTCTTGGGGTGGAAGGAGTGCCCATCTTCATGCTAGAGAGCAAGCTCTCCCAGTGTATTATATCACTCTGTGTTAACAAGTCCCAACTCTGGTCCCTCATATCTATAGTCTGTATACAGAAGTCACTCAATAAACGTGTATGGCATTGAACCAGGCACAGAAAAGGGAAAACAATTGTACTTCATTGGCTGTTTATGACTCTTTGCTGAGTCTCAGACTCTCCATCTGCAAGTCAAGAGGGTTAGCTGGGCTGGTAGTAGGGCCCCTCCTTCCTCCTACCTATAATTGCTGTGGGCTTCACCAGCCTCACTACCTCCTCCAGGGAGTTGACTTCAGCATGGTCTTGGGCAAACTTCTCCTTCTCATGGTTCAGGTGGCTCCTGCCCTGTGGGGAAGAAGGAAGATGGGGCCGCTGGAGTGTTGGGGACCTGCTGTTAGGATCCCGACAGTGTTCCTAACTGGGCCTTTGGAAGAGTGAGGCCCAGACCCTCGATCAGACTCCTCAATAGGACCTAAGGCGAATCCTAAGGAAAGGTGTGCACGTGTTTCTTTTAGAAAACATTTAATTGCATGGGTGTTTCTGCCTGCTTGTGAGCGCGCTTCATGTGCATGTAGTGACTGTCAGGGCTATAAGGGCCCTGGCACCTATGAAAGTGAACTTACAAACAGTTGTTAGCCACCGTGTGTGTGCTGGGAATCAAGTCAGGTCAAATCAAATCAAATCAAATCAAATCAAATCAAATCAAATCAAATC